TGAACCAATTAAACATATATATAGGAAAAATTTTCTTAGAAAACATATTTGCCTATAGCTATAAAAGTAATTTAATTCTCATTTTAAAATAATAGTATCAAATCACATTTTGCGAGAATGGAAACAAATGGTGATATTTCATGTTCTAGAAATATGTTTTGGGGAGACAAAATATTGGATGGTCCTGAATCTGGACCGTATATAATTTATATTGCTTCATAGTGCTTTACGGTCCTCTCTGGACAAATTACAATAACAGCCTATTACCCCAAAAAATCTGGGTCCTCATTTTACCGACCTCAGAAGAGTGGAAAGTCTGTGTCAACCTTGAGCCAGTCAGGATTGAGCTGCTGGCTGTAATGAAATTGTGCACAATGTATGCAGATTAGAGTTCAGCTTTCTTTAAGGAGAAATTTGGATTGCTTTGCTTTACAAATTATTTTTTTTCTAAATATACTGAACTACTATAAATGAGCCTAGCAAATAGCAGTTATATCAGCCTTGGTCATATTTCTGTAGTTGACCATCTCTTTGTCCCTCCCATTAGATCCTGATTGAAGATGATGCCAGGCCGCTGCTCCCCGATCCCGAGGTCCCAGAAATTAATGTCCCTCAAGGCAGTGCCCAACTTGCCAAACTTGACGAGAATGAGCTGTGACCCTTGGATTGCAGGATGGTGGTCTCTGTCAGGCAGGCACTTCAGCTGGGGATATCTTAACACCCGCCTCCCTCTCTCTGGCTTCTCTGGAGGAAAGAGAAACGTGGCAACACTGGGGTGGAAGGTTTTGCTGTCCTCTGATCCTGCTCAAAATGCCCAGACTTCACCCCCCTTCCTTATATGGGTGCAGGACCCCATATTGGGATCAGAGCATAATGCTGAAGGCCCTTCCCTAGACCCCAGTATATGCATGCTGTGGGGCTCTAGGGGCTTTACGTGGGGGGCTCTTGGATGCGGGGTTTCGATTATGTGAAATGAGAATATTTTGTTCGTTGTAATAAAAGATTTTAATTAAAACAAACAAGGAAGTAAATTGCATCACACAAAATCTGCACAGACATCAGGAAAAGCTGATTTCCCCAGCTGATTTCCATAACATTTCTTCATGAGTAGCTTGTGGGGTATATGTCAAATTCTCTATTTTCTCCAATTCTTCATAACTGAACACTAAAGTGTTAGGCAGGAAACTTCAAGGGAGTCTTGAATTCTCATTGTACTAAGGTAATATTTTCTTCCCTTCCCACTTTCAAATTATACTTTAAACTATTCATGCATCTATTTAGCTCAATACAAGCTCTTTCGTCATTTAGATTACAGAATCCATCATCCTGGTCATTAGAGAAAACTATCACTGCATAGGAAATAGGAAGGTGTGAATGTAGCTATTACATTCTAAAAAAAATCGAGATCTTAGTTTGATTCTCAGGATTTATCAGCTATTAATCCATTTTAGCTGTCACTGGCACATCATTGCATCCCAGCTCAAGGGCTATCTACTGTATTAGTGTGCAAGATTTGTCAATTAACATCAGTATGGAGGGATCAAGGAAAACTTCCTATCTATAAATCCTGAATTAATAGGATTTAACTTAATACATGAGAGCAAAGGGTTGGGAAAGGGGATTTCTCCTGTCAAGCCCCTTTTAACAACAGTCTCCAAGATAATAAATGAAAGAAGCTTGGTTCTTTTACACTTCAAAGGCCACACAGCCTATTTTGACAGAGGCAGCTTGGCTTACAAGTTCATCCTGATAGTGGTCAGAAACATTCTTTATGAAACAAAGAAAAAGGTTATTTTCAATTAAGCAGTTTTTGCATTTGTTTCCTCTAAAATTTGCAAGTGAAAGGAGCATCAGCCATCCCATTCACCAGGTATTAAGTTCAAAAAGTGCCTCCTGTTAAAAACACATAAACATTTCTATCTAGGAAGATAAAAACTAGAAATTGTATTTCTCTACGTCCTTCCGAAATGACCTAAAACTGAGTATGAAAAACAACGGGAAGCACTCATAGAAAAAATATATATAGCTCTGCCAACATTTAAACACAATAAATACATTAATACATTTTTTTTAAAGCAGAAAAGCAAAATACTAGGCAAACTATAAGAGAAACCCCCCCCCCCAATACTTGTTACCCAAGCAATGCCCAGATGATACCTTCCATTGTCCAAAAAAGAAATAATGTAGGTCTACCAAACTTGCTTTAGAAGAAGGGTTAACCTCTGAGGCAATGCCCTTTTGCTGGCATACAGCTTGGATGGTACTGGAAACAGGTCATCCCTGG